GCCCTATCTCTCTCCTTCCCTTTAATCCTCGATTTTTTTCAAAGCCTCAACTTTAAACATTGCCTCACATTTACTTCTCAACTCACAGTCATCTTTCTTCCCTTGCCTGTCTCCAAAGCCTGGGCAAGAGCTTTCCACACTACAAGGCAGCTTCAGGTGGTCTGGCCTCTCCTGAAACCACCCTCATTTATAGTCAAATGGCCAATGAACTTCTAACTGCAAAATCTTAAAGCCTTTTCTCATACTTCATCCTCTCCGTTCTCTCAGAAGCCTTTGTCCCTGTCGAACATCTCTACCATGTTGAGATGTCTTCCTTGAGTCTCCCAGTCTCCTAAGCTGGCCCCTTCTCCAGAATTCCTTTTTCTTCCTGCTCCTGTGCCATCACCAGCCTTCTACACTGGGGCCTTTCCTCCCTTCTCCTGGGGATCTCCCTGGATGAGCATGTTCCCTGCTCAAAACCAACATGGTGATGGTTCTCAGATCTGCCTCTCTTCCGCCGCAGGCTGTTGGAGAGCCCTGCAGGATGGAAAACAACCTCCTCAGGGACAACGTGTTGAAGTCCAGTCTGTTATGTTCTCTTCCAAACACCTCTAACGTTTCTCCATTTCTTCTCTCAGTCCCTGGCATCACTGGCCACCGAGTCACTGAGGCCAGAAATCACAGAATCACCCTGGACCCTCTTCCAGCCCTCATTCCCTACAATGATCACACTTCTCCGAAGTCTCTCTACCATATCCCTTTCTAGTCTCCAAGATCCAATTTTTTAAAAAGATTTTATTTATTTATTTGACAGAGAGAGAGAACACAAGCAGGGGGAGCAGCAGAGGGAGAGGGAGAAGCGGGCTGCCTGCTCAGCAGGGAGCCCGATGCGTGGCTTGATCCCAGGACCCCGGGATCATGATGAGTCAAAGGCAGATGCTTAACCGACTGAGCCACCCAGGCACCACGCCAAGAGTCAATTTTCATTTAGCTTAAAATTTAGCTCTCACCCAGGTGATAATAGCATCCTACTACTGTGTTTAACTTCCTCCAACTCCTAATCTCTACAACCCATTCCACCCCCATCCCCAGTTTTCTTTCAAAAACACAGATGGCTCATGTCACCATCCTGCTTCCCACTTGCCCACAGAACAGTGTTTAAACTCCCGAGCAAACAGAGGGCCCTTTACAACCTGCTCCACTTACCTTCCCAGCTTAGCTGTAATGACCTGCCAGGTAGCTTCCTCTTTCCCACATCTATCAGACTAGTTTGATTCAACTGTTCATTCATTCATTCATTCAATAAACATTTACTGGGTGCATACAGACAATATGTGAGGCTTTAGCAATTCGGTAATAAAAAGCACAGTCCCTGTCCTCAAGGAGCTTCTATCTAATGGCGGATAAAGCACCTGTAATAATGTTCTTATTATAATATGCAATAAATGGCTGTCAAGTTAAATGAGCTCATGCTGAAGTAAGTGCTTCATTGGAAAGGCAGTGTAATGTAATGGTTAATATTATGGGCTACTGGCCAAACTGCCTGAGCTCCCGTCCCAGCTCTGCCAATTTCTAGCTGTGTGACCTTAAGCAAGTTATTCTCACTGTGTCTTTGTTTCATCATCTTTAAAGTGGAGGTCATAATAGTTCCTCCTTCTTCGGAGAGTTGCAGTAAAGATTAAATGAAGTCATGTTTGTAGAATGAATGGGGAGAGTGGAGTCTGGCATATAACAGTGCTGATTGTGTTTTCATTTGTATTATTATTGTACCTTGAGAGGTGTGTCCAGGGATTATGTAACCATGTATGAGAGTCCAAGACCAGCTTGAGGAGGAGCTTGAGAAGGATCAGAGATGTTTTTCTTCAGGAGGAGGCAATATCTAAGAAAGGTCTGAAAGGCTGAGTGAGCCAGACAAGCCATATAAAGGTAGTCCAGCCCAAGAAAATGGGGGAACAGGGGGTATAGTGTGTAAATAATATGAAAGTAATGGAGTGAGGTGCATTCTGAGAATTTTAAGGTAGAAATGATAGGATGACAAGAAATGAGGTGGGGAGGGGCGCCTGGGTGGTTCAGTTGGTTAAGTGTCTAATTCTTGGTTTTGGCTCAGGTCATGATCTTTTGTGGTCATGGGTTTGAGCCCTGTGTCCGGCTCTGCACTCAGCATGGAGTCTGTTTCAGATTCTCTCTCCCTCTCCCACCCACTCTCTCAAATAAATATATAAAATCTTAAAAAAAAAAAAAAAGTAATGAGGTGGGGAAGGCAAACTGAAGCCACGTTGTAAGGGATTTTCTTTGTATGCTGTGATAAGCAGTAGAGATTTTTACCTTGAAGGTGAACTATTGCCTCCAATAGAGATATTGAAGGGTTTTAAGCAGGGACATGATATAATCATGTTTCCATTTTAGAAAGCTCATTATTGTAGCCCTGATTAGGGTGCCGGAAAGTGGGAGCAGGGAATCCTAAGAGGTGGCTATTAAGCAAAGCCTGAAGGAAATGATGGGGTGTGATCCAAGGTGGATCAGTAGAAATGGGAAGGAGATAGATGGAATTCCTCTTCTTTTTTTCTTAAACTGCTGCTGACCCTTCAGGACTTGCTCCCTGGGGAGCCTTTCCTAAAGCCCCCAGGCAAATGTAGCTGATCTGCCATTTACATCCCACCCCTTGAGAACAGAAATGGGTCTTTCTTTACTTTTATAGCTATATTTAGTACTGTGAGCTAAGACAGGGTCTTGTAGGTGTTAGATACATGTTTGCAGAATAAAATCCTTCAACGAATGTCTTTTAAGGAGAAGGATCGAGATGACAGACTATCCAAGGCTAGTATGCTTTCTGATCATTTTACTTTTTCGATATGCTTAGTCACCAATAGTCTTATAATAATAGCTGTCCCCAAGCTTCACAAAACAAAATCTGCTTTGTTTAAATTGTTTAATTTAATTAAAATCAACAAACCTACTGAGTATGTTGTAATTGAAAGGCACTATGCTTTGGTATATACTGATTGTCATTTTTTTCTCTCTCATAAATACATTAAATATTCTCCATCCAATGTATAAGAAATTATAATATGTTAAATTTATGTTATTTTATTTAAGGAGATAATTAATGTTTTAATTAAAAGTAGATAGGTCCAAAATAGATCTATGGTTTATAGCACCAATTATTTCCCTTATTATTCTTGACAGCAGGAAGCCATCACGCTTATTAGTATCCTTCCCACCCTATCTTGGATGGATTGATATGATTTCAATTGATTAGATGCTGTTGAAAAGCTCAGTGTTTTCCTTTGGTCCTGGGCTGAATAGCATTTTTAATAACATGAACATCTACCATTGTGTAAATCATATTCGTGTGCAATCTGAACTATATAAGGCTTTTTTTTTTAACCCACTGGTTGAGAATTTTTTCCCACTGGTTTTTCTTGGCTTTTTCTTTTCATTTTAAGTGAACCCAATTCCAACAATACAATGGAAAAGACTCAAAAATCCAATGCTTAAAAGAGATCAGCTTTTAAACAATATTAAATGTTAATAAAATTAGACCTATCTTTTTCTGACACTACGCATTTTTCAGAACATTAATGTTCACTATGTTATATAGTGTTTTATATTTTCAGTATTGTGAGCATTCTCAGTCTGAAAAAAGAGTTACATCGTGATAGATTTCTTGAGCTTACTACAAAGGCTATCACAGTTTTGCATTCACAAAAGTCACAGTAAAAATCTGTTCAACCCAAGAACACTGATAATATATTTGAAACTATAATTAGAATGGGGTTTTCTGATTCAAGAGTTATATATGTAAACAATCAGGAGTTTGCCAGTAATAATCATCCAGTATCGCATTACCAAGATAAAGCCATATCGAGGATGTATATATTACTACAAATAATAAATGGTATTTTCTTAGGCCTTTCAAAAACCAATATAATTTTTCCTCACTTCTTTCCTAAACCCATTAGATTCTCTTTAGCAGAAATAAGATTAGTAGAAATTTCCTTTAAATTCAAAAATCTTAAGTTAACAAATTTCCGAAAAATATCGCTGTGTAAATAAAAATTGGTATTATGCCTATGATGATGGTGAAAATAGCATGACTTTAACAAAGACTGGCTTCAAATGTATTCATTGTCAAATGCTTAAACCAATGAATAGATGTGTGACTGAGAAAAACTTGTATTCAATCTGTCAGCATTTTTTGAATTGTCTTATGCCAGGTTCTGGGGAACCAAAGAGCTCTAAAGGCATAGTTTATGCCTGAGAAGCTCAGTCTCTGATGGGTAATACTCGTTTCTTTTCAGAGGGAAATTCTATGTGAAGTGGTAAGTGCTACAATGAAGACACAAAGTCAGGTAGAAGCTCAAGAAGTAAAGTGAACAAATTTGTGTTGGGGCATGGATCCTGTTTTCCACCTTTCATGGTGTGTGTACATGTGTGTGTACATGTGTGTACGTGTGCATATATGCATCTGTGAGTCTGGTTTAGGTGAAAGTTAGGATGTGTATGAGGCACTCACAAAGTAGAAGTCATTTAATGTGACTACTTCATGTCCACTTAATGTATCTAAAATGATACAGTATCTATCCACAAATCTGAAATAAATGGTGCACACAGTTGAAACAAGCACATAAATACTGAACACAAGATCATGTTTAAAAGCAATAAACAGAAACATTTTCAAGGACGTTGGCAAGAAATTTAAGTGGTAAATTAAGCAGATATGTTTCTGTAGAATTTTAAAACTACTAAGCTTTATATTTCCAGGACAACTAAATGTAATCAGAGAAAAAAATAGGAAAAGTAGACAAATTTTCTCTTGGTTTGTTTTGCTCACACTTAGTATTTTCAGAAGTCTACAGATCTTTATCAGTAATTACTAAATACCTAATTCTTAGGGACATGAAGGGATCCATAATTCCATTTTTAAAGCATCGTGATCAAGTACTTAGTACATAGAACATCAGGCCTACCATGAATAATTTTGACACAACCAACATAGAGGTGTCAGAGATGATTCTTACCTCCTTGTTCACACAGCTGCTGGGCTAAAGCATCTTTGAAAATAATCTGGCCCCTGTGTGTCGCCGTAGCCCTGAAAATGAATAGGAAAGGTTAATCTAAATCTTGTAATAAGTTTGGTGACAATTTAATGTATTTTTACAACTTTTTGAAAAACCTCATTTTTAAATGCTATTGTGTAGATACGATCTTTTAAAAAATGAGTGCATTTGAACAGTGATACAAATGAACAAGGGCTTAGACCAAGGCCCCTGGGTTGAGAATTATCTTCTGGCTTTCTTTGTAAAGATACTGTAACATTTGTGGGCTTATTCTGAAAACAGTAGATGTAAGCAAATCCTGCATAGAAGAAAAAGTATGCTTATTAAAATTTCTTCCTTGGAAGACTGATATAAAATGTCTTGTGAAGCAATAATGATATTAGCACTGAGAAAGATGCTCCGAATATACTTTTTTTCTGAAATCAACAGTCACCATGACACATAGAGAGTTTAGACAGAGAATTACATTTTTTCAAAAGTATTTTTTTTAAAAATAGGGCAATTCAGAGCTTTCATAATTACAAAATCTGTCGTAATAAAATACACCTTTTCTCCCTACAGGGTCTAACTCACCCTTTGAAGGAGATGTGCATCGTTTACCTCCTCTAATCAGAGCTGTGCACATTCACTGGTGAAAAAAATAGCACCCTTGCAGCAGATGTGTTATTCAGTGGCTATAAAAGGAACCATTTTTATTAAAGGAAAACTTATTTATGCCTCCTATTTGAGGTATGTTTCCTTAAAAAGAACTTTTCTGGGGACGCCTGGGTGGCTCAGTTGGTTAAGCGGCTGCCTTCGGTCCAGGTCATGATCCCAGGGTCCTGGGATCGAGTCCCACATCGGGCTCCTTGCTCAGCAGGGAACCTGCTTCTCCCTCTCTCTCCCTCTGCTTGTG